TTCAAATCTTACCGATGATTTCCAAGAGCAATATATCGATCTAACAAGAAAAACAGTTTTGTATCGTAACAGAATAGTCTTCGACTTACCTGGTTCAATTTCACCTTTCATTATTCCAATCACATTATATGTGTCTTTTCTTTCAAGTCGATTGTATATTTTTACTTCAATCGTACTACACGAAGCAAACAGTTTGTTTTTATAGATCTTGAAAATTGGCTTATCTTACGATGCTTCACGAAGTTCTCCACCATAACGATATATTACGTTTGATAAAGTTCCACGCCATTCGACTGGTACTTCATTACCTTGCATATATCTAAATGTAACATTTTCTCCCATCAAGTAACAATAAAATTCAAAGATTTCTTACTGAAGAATAATCTGAGCTTCACCATACCCAATTGGTTGAGCAGGAATTTTAGGTAGAAAGGTGACACTATCTTCTCTCACTCTGTACATATAATCTATAGAATATAAACATACTATATTTACCGATCTATTCATTGTTGAAATATGATTGAACCTGTTGATGGATATATAGGTGTCAAAGGATCACCAAACGAAGTATAGGATGATCCTCGTTGTGTACCACTTGGAGGCATGTACCACTTTTGATCATAAACTTGATCAGATGTTGTTCCAAATGGAGCATAATCAGCTGGATCATTATATAATATTGCACCTATAGCTCCAAAATATTGAGCATGCATCACCTATAAATCTCTCGATGATTCTCAAACATATTTTCTTACATAAACAGGACGAAAAAAAAACATACCTTATCTCCTCGATAAATGCGACCATATCTCATGATGATAATACTACTTTGAAGACTGGCATTTCCAACTATAGATGCTAGTTTTTGAAGATCTTCAAGTTCACCATAGTTAGCATAGTACAGTTTACTCTATATATTATTCAACATGAAATGAATTATTGATATTCATTGATAACTTACACTAGAGACAGTTCCATTAGGTGTATAAGCAATAAATGGATTAACTGTTTTTGGTTGTGTTGTATCATAGACATGTTCAACTCCAGCTGTTTGAAAAATGAGCGTGCCATCACTATTGGTGAGAGTAACTCTGAAAAGATATATAACAGAAGTTAAAGATATTTATTGAGTTGTCCGTTTACCGATTAGGATTATTATCATCAGGATAAGAAAGAAGAACATTATATTTTGGTTTCGTTACTTTTAAACCATCAGTTATCCATCGTTGTTCGATGACTTGAGCACTTTCTAAATCTTCAGGTAGACCAGCTAGATGAGGACGTGAAGTGAGATCTCTATATGATTTAATATTCTATAGATATTTTTGTTGAAATGAAAGTGAAATGACGATTACTTAAGATTGATTTCAATGTTCGTTGCTTGTATAGAGTCAATGAATGTTTGATAATTTCGTTGATCAGCTGATTTAGTAAGACGATCATGCTTCCAAGACGTGTTGTGAGTTGGTTTAGTAATAGCGAAATGGCCAATGATGATACCAAGTCCAAGAGCGAGTGCTGTTACAACCACGACACCAATAACCAAAAACTAGATATCTTTCAATAAGTATCTTCAGAAGCGGATAAGCTTATCATCTCTTACCTTAGAATTCATAATTCCAAAGGGCTTGTCTTGAATTATCTTGTTATTGTCCTTTAGTTTTATTATTCAATGCGTATACTTGTGGTTTATGAATGTCAGTCAGTGAAATTTAGTGTCTGTCCTATCGGAATGATATTTTGATTAGCTTTTTCATATTATTTTGTCTCTTATCTTTCTCTTCTGTTTCTTTCTTTGTTCTTTCAACACTCGGGAAAGATTAGACATGAGTTTTTTTCACGCTCATTGTGAGATCAATTCAGCATCCGTTTTGCAATGGATGTAGTATAGAGCGATGATTTATACATAAAAGCAAATATTTTTTCTGTGTGAATAAGTTCACACCTTTTCTATACTGACATATGAGTTGGTAAAGCCGCTGAAAATGTTGCAACGTCAAAAACAAAATAAATGTCGTTATAGTGCATGAAACTATACGTTCTGATTGATTTTTATTGGCATTATTAATGATTGGAGTATCTAGAGCAGTACGCAAGAATGAAATGAAGTTGTTGAAGATGAAACACTTTGAGGAAAAAATATTATATATATTATTGTATGAAATGTATGTCTCTTTATAGTGAAAGTTAGTGATGATTCTTCAAGAGACAGATATCAAATATCTTATCACTAGATACACCATGATTATTGAATTACATTTTTTTGATTATGAAAGTTTGCTTAACTTAAGTATACGAAATAGAGCTTCGCTTCTTTTACACTCATTTCTTTGTGGAACGTTCTCGTTCCCGTGAACAATTAAACTTTATATTTCCAGTAGTAAATTTCATTCGAATACCAAAACTTTAGAATTATTATGATCTATTCCATATATCTTTGAATCGTGCAGGTAAAGTAGTGTCCCGTTTTCATCATTCTTGAGAGATGACTCAACATCATAGAAGCATATCAAAACTCGATTCACCAAAAACTGATCAATCAGAAGAATTCTTGGCGGTCCTTTTTTCAATCTATGTACGTTCAATATTCATAGGTTGTTCCATTCGAGAGTTATAACACATTTGTTAAGACCCCAATCTCAGCTAATTGATTTGCGACGTCTGCCAAATGCAACTAGGCAAAGTTAATTCACCTTGCTAAGTCCAACAATGATATTTCTTTATAGTTTTGAACTATTTTGAGACTCTTTATCCATTTTTCCTGAAGTGTTGACTCCTTCAACAATGGAAGCTGACTGTGGAGTTTCAGAAATATTGACATAGGGCCGTTAGATCAATTTCAATCAAAAAACAGATACCACTACTACAATCTGTATAGTGAGTAACGAATGTTAACCTCTTTTTTCGGGTGATCACGAGTCAATTTTTAAAAATCAAGGATGTCACCAGAAGTCTTATAGCTCTCGAACAAAACAACCTAGAAATATCATCCCTACATATCGAATTGGAAATACCTTCACAACTAAGTTTTCGAAAATTTGCACCAAGAACTCGTTTGATAGAGCAATGGATGATCAATGAAGTTGTTATATCATATGATGGCCCTGAGTATTCTGTGTTGAATGGTGAAAATTTCACGTCTCTATGATGCTTGCATAACAAGCATTCAGAATACAATAGACCATAGTACTTTCTCAAATGAATACTAGCCATCATTTTATTGTAATCGAATGCAATGATCAATACACTAGTTCTTTTTAATTCTATTTCTACGTGTCGTTTAATACGCGAAAGAAAATTATGAAAAAAAATTATTAAACTCTTTCAGTGTAGATAATGCACCACGCACAAAATACGTTGCTATCGCTATTTGATTAGCGATTTCTCTTGAGTCATCGCTGATAATAGCATCACTAAGAGAAGGAAAACCATCTGCTGCATATACATTAATTTTCGCTGGTGCATAGACAACATGTCTTGAAATAAAGTCAAAAACAAAATAAATAATTTAAACAAAAAAAA